TGCTACAGGACTTTGCGTCAACCTCCCCGTCTTCCCTGGGCGCAGGTGAGGCGAGCGCAAGGCCACGCGCGCCCCAGATGAGGCACGCGACAAGGAACCCGCACAGATGCGAACAGTGTGAGTCGATAGAATGTTACAAGTAAATATTTATATATTCTACACATGTTCACAACCTAACTCCAGCGCTATAAGTAATTGTAGCGATCATCAAGCAAAGCGAGCTGACCTTTGCTCAGGTGGGTGAATCTTGAGAAAACGGATTCAATGCGCTTTTGTGGATTCCAGCTGTTCTTCTCCCTGTTGGTTCTGGTTTATGGTTGGTTCATACTCCAGGGCTGGATCCACCAAAGTCGCATCCAAACGGCTTCCTAGAAACTAGGCGGATGAACACAGGATGTTATGGGTATGTCGGGACACCCAAGATGATGCATATATAGGCACCACATGCGTATGAAGCATCAGGCCATTTCTTGGAACCTTGGAACCTTTGTTTAGGGTTACCCGATGAGAATCGCGGAGCCAAAGAGCACGATTTGTTGATGGGTTTCATTAAGCCCCGGTTGAGGATTTGCTTGTTGGCAGCCCACATGCAGTCCACAAAACAGCACGTCAATGCAGTTGCTGTCCAGCGCGCCTACTGGGATCCCAGGCTTAATCAACCCCTGGTTGACCTATTGAGGGGTTGTCCCGTTTAAATCCAGTGTCGACGTTGAGCCTCATCTTGCCAAAGCTTAGGTGTCTAAGAAACACTCAAGACGAGCTATGTATTGTTCATGTTGCCGAACAGCAGAAGATGTCGAAGCAATGTCCGCCAAAGCGTCTCAAATCAACGAACACAAAGCACCCTGTTCACATTTGCGGTCCTACTGTCCTACTTGCATAACGTGACCCTACATGCCTTACATCGTCACAATAGTTTGAGTATGTGTTTTTTGGGGATTTCTACTAGGTCCCCCAATAGTCCCTTTTACCCGTTTTTTGCGGGAGGGTTCCCCTACTAAAATAGACTACAGAAAAAAGGGTACCCTTATTCTAACCTCTCTACTGGAGGACCTAGTCTGGGTCCTTGGAGTTCAGAAGTCCGATTTTTCCGGGTCCAGGCTGGAAAAGCCCGTGAAAGAAGCGGCTTCGGCCGCGCAGCGCCCGCAGAAAGTCTTTGAGGCCAGGATTGGTTTTGGCCACGGCTGTGGCCCAAGAGAAGGTACCCAGGCACACGGTACCCAAACATCTTGGAATATGGAAGGACACCTGCCTAACCCCACCTCTTTAATTTTGAGCCACAACCAAGGAAGTATTCCCCCGTTCCATGCAAATCTGTTAACTTGGACCCCGCCCCCCCTCCCCGGGGGTTCCTCTAATGATGGTTGGTTGGACTTCATTGGGTGAAAATAGATCGCACAATTCCCTCGGTTTGGCTGCGATCCCTTGAAGAATCCTCATCCGGCCTGAATTTGCCGCAAGCCCTAGCCAAAGGATTGACCGTTTGGGACCCTAACTTTAAAGTAGGCAAGCAACAAAACAAGCACAAATGAGCGATCGGCTTTTGGGCAAGTCAGATTCTTACTTACCTATGCCTCCAAATAGTGAAACGCTTTTTCCCAAACAAGGGAATTGGTTGCCTGCTCTGAGCACTGTCCTGAAAGCAGGGGTAGTTATCCACCAGTATGGGATTGAGGACACTGCAAAGGCCGGCAATACAAGGGTCAGTCAGGCTATGGGGATAAGTGCCATCCACCTTTACCCCGGTGCGACAAGAGACCCAAAGCATATCCCCCCAAGCAAACCAGAAGGCCCCTGGACTTCGGGTCCTCTTTTGGAATCCTGACTAAGCTCAAGAAGAAACAAACGCATGAAATACCAGTTTTCCAAAGTGAGTGGCTCCCTGCAGCCGAATGTTTTACCGATCTAGAAAGTTTAGAACGGGTTCCGTGAAGATTCCTTGGTCTCCTTAGTTCAGCTTATTGTATGTTGTCTTGGTTCATCCTTTGCGATGTGCTTAAACTGGACTTACCCGTTTCCTAGACAACACAGTGCGATTATGACCATTAGCAAGTGCAGACCCATAAAGATCCTATTGGAGCCCTGCTTTTGGGTGAACCATCTAGCTTGCGGCTTGCGTGGCTGGGTTTTCAATCCACAGAGCAGGTTGCAAGTGGAGAGAGGTCGGCCCTTGAACACCGAGCAATACATATACCGACCAAACACGAGTCTGTTGGATGACCAGAGGCTTTGGAGCAAAGGGTCCCCAAGTAAGTTGCATTCACCCACGTGCCCCATGCACTGAAGGCTAAAGGCTGACTCCCGGTATCGTGTCGGTAATTTTGGAGCATGACACCTCTGAATCGTCCTTCCCGAAAGGGGCACTGAGCACGTTGCGCCGTAGGCCCTCAAACTTCAAGATGGCCTGCCGGCATCGGCTCAGGCCGATCGAGCTCATGTGAGTATTTCTGCCAGCGTCCGTTGTGGGGCTGGAATGGCCCTCGGTGTTCTGTTCTTCTAAAATTCTAGAATTCTACGCTAAGTGCTGAAGGCCCCGCATATTCATAATGATAGCCCCAACTGAAGCCAGAAGGGGGATATATATATATATATACAATGTTTTGTTGTACTTGGCTGCCCCACTCATTGTTCTGATGATCCCACAATTTTGCAGGTTTGTTCAAGTTTCTTGCCTCGCACAAGACTGCACGTCCCTGTTGCCGCCAGGAAGAGCAGAAGATCTTAGATTTCTTGAATGAGCCGGCAGCATACGGTCGCCTGGCAAACGACAGGCAGGTAAAACCGTGAGCAAGGCGAGGCAATGGTATGTCAAAGGCACCAGGCACCGGTCTCAACCTTACCTCTTAAAAGCACAACCTTTCAACTTTTTGGGGGTAACATGGGCTATATGGCTGTAAAAGATTAACTTCCCCAGGGCTTGGAGTTTTAAGGGGTAAGCAACTATCAAGCTGGTTTGGCATTCTTTGCCACTGCAATTTGGTGCAGATGCACATGCTCAAGTGAAGAATGTGTGTGTGTGTGTGTCTCTGTGTGTCTGTGTGTGTCTGTGTCTCTCTGTGTGTCTCTGTGTGTCTGTGTCTCTGTGTGTCTGTGTGTTTGTGTGTCTGTGTCTCTGTGTCTCTGTGTGTCTGTGTCTCTGTGTCTCTGTGTCTCTGTGTCTCTGTGTCTCTGTGTCTCTGTGTCTCTGTGTGTCTATGTGTCTGTGTGTCTCTGTGTCTTTGCGTCTCTGTGTCTCTGTGTCTCTGTGTCTCTGTGTCTCTGTGTCTCTGTGTCTCTGTGTCTCTGTGTGTCTGTGTCTCTGTGTCTCTGTGTCTCTGTGTCTCTGTGTCTCTGTGTCTCTGTGTCTCTGTGTCTCTGTGTTTGTGTCTGTGTCTGTGTTTTTTGTTCGTTTGTTGGGACGCTGAGTTTCTTGCGTCGTGCCCCATAACTACTGCATGCCCAGTCATAACCCTTTGGTTCATGACCTTTGCCGGTTGCTACATGGAATCCTGTTCATCTTGAACAGGGCTGGGAGGATTGGATTTGCTGCCTCGCTTTTGGCAACTTCCGACTCTTTATCTTTGGGCGGGCTTTTTGCAGGGCTGAAATGAGAGTCACTTGAACAAGGCTACGTCTTCGTCTCCGCGTGCCATCAACCATGTCACTTCCAACTGTCCACATGGCAGGCATAGGGCACAAGGCGTTCATGGCCACTGAAAGAAATAGGTGCGGCGATCCAGGCTTGCCAGAACCTTGAAGTGTTTGGACGAGGCCCTTAATCATTTGTTGGCATTGGTGAAGTGCAAAGGGTGGATTCCCTTTAACCAAGTCGCCGGTTCATTGTTGGATTCTGAGAACTGATAAACACTGGCAGCCCCAAGGCCCAACCGAAGGGGCGCTTTCTTGCCCATGCCTAGCCAAAAGCCTTGACGATGGGCTCAGGTACACCGATGTCCTGACGCAGCGTGGTGATACGAAAAAGCTTGCCGCGATGTGGGCTGTGCTTGAAACTGCGAACAGGTGTTCGACCTTTTTCGCTTTCCGGCTGGGACGCAAAGTAGGATGCCAATGGCCTCGAAAGGGCCGGCATGTTATGTTCTCATTTGGGTTCCTGAAATGGCCCAAGGTGGCTGCCCTACCTTGTTGGAAAGAACACTTTGGACGCCTCTAGCTTATTTGCCCTCGGCACACGACATTTGTTGCTCAAAGAGGTTGCAAAAGGAGCACCCTGAATTGGGCGGCCCTTACTTTGGGGTGCTTCTTTGCAAGAGACTGGGCAAACCGCAGGCCATGGCTGAATCTGTCAATGTGTTTGGGCTCATTGATGCTGGCATGCGCGTGTGATCTTTTGGCCCGGCAAGATGGGGATCATTTTGCACGACGGCAACTTTGTCATTTGTGGATGCATGTTGAAAGACGACTTGGCCTTGCTGGCCCCTTAACAGATTTGCGCCGAGGGGATCAACCTGCAGAAATGAAATGCAAAGCTGGACACTGTGGTGGTAAACCGAGCCTATGCCCAAGGGTTTTGCCTTGCCGGTTGTCAGGGAGTGCGGAATTCACCTTTGAGTGGATCCTTGTGGCGGGGTCATACACTTGCGCTGGGATTAGAGGTGGTACTTGCCTGTTTGGACTTTTCGGACCCAATGTTTAGCTATGGAACCCAAACTGCCACGACCGCCATGGATTACCCAGTTCAGTGGCAATCTCTAAATCCAGGTTCACTTGGTTGATTCACTCAAAGTTGTCTCAATCCTTCAAAATATATCCCGGCGTCTTGCTATGCTTATCTATTGGTACCCTAAGTGTCCTGCGGAACGCGTGATTGGAACGTCAGCGCTCCCAACAAGCATCACACGTTTGTAACCGTTTATATCTGTCTTCTTGTTTGAAGGTCCCTTTTGGTCTGCTTCCAAGGGCAATCCCCAGAGCCACCCGCGATTTTTTTGGGGGGGTCCCCGATTTGTAAGACACGTGCCTTTGGGCGATATGCGCGAACGGGGAGATGGGCCGATCGGCAGGCCACACTGGAGATCCACGAGTGGCAGGCAGGGGGGCGCCGACATCTGGCGAAGCTCCGGGACCAAAGCACCCGGCACCCCCTGGCTTTCTGATAGGGGCATCAAAGGAACTGGGGCTGGTGGGCAAAATCGGCTTTTCAGGTGCGCTTGTATTTGATTCAAATTCGTTGGATACTTGTTGGGCAGCTGGTAGTGCAAGTCGGTTCATGTGAAACTTGTTGGCTTTCTGCGGTACTGAGAGACCAACTTTGTCAAAGGAATGGCCCACTTGGGCAGCACAGAAACGGTCAATTTCCACAACCATGAGCAAAAACAACAAGTATATGGCCGTCTCCTTTTTCCAAACGAATTGCGGAGGCCTACTTTCCCTTTCAGGAAGACTGGATGAATGGACTCCCCTCCGACCCTTCAGGTCATACAGGTATCGTTTCAGGGGACCTCTTCAATTGGAATTTAGTTCTTATGTTCAGGTGTTTGGAACTCCCATGCGTGCCAACACATCCTCAACAGAATATTCCGTTCGGTTTTCCCTTCAAGCCACTATTTAGAGGGCAACTTTGAGGATGTCAGTTTGAAGGACACAGGATCCCCTCAGTTTGATTTTGGCAGAATATGGTTTGCTTGTTCTTCTTTAGCTTGAACGAGCCGTGGTCATGACCGATAGGGAAGGTGTATATAAAATATTATAGGTACACCGTATTTGTACTCGTTGTGTTCCTTGGCACTCCGAACCGTTTCTATGCTCGAGATGACAAACCCCAAAGCTCACAACACCGGTTCGCTTCCTTCAATTTTCTTCCCTTGTTCCGATGTCGAATGGGAGCAACGCAGGCTCGCAAGGGGGAGCTCTCAAAGAGGCGGCCCTCGGTGCGAGCACGCCAAGAGGAGCGTAAGTACCTCTGGGTTTTGCTTTCGCGGACAAAGAAACAGGTACATTGTTGCGCTGTGCTATGTTCATGGCACTTCTGGGGCTCATAGTGTTCAGATAGTGCCCCACAAGCCAAATTCCAAGCATTCACTTGACAGTACAGAAATACGATCCTTTTGGAGGATTTGTTTTTTTTTTTGGAGTCGCGTTCAAGGATAGTCGAAGAGATGGTCAGAGAGGCCCTTTTTGGCGAGACCTTTCATTGCAATTGGGCCTGTTTCTGCAAATCTTAGTGGGGAATCCTTTCAAACGTGGATGGTGGAGATTACCCCACCCTACCTTCAAATGATCATGGAAGCTGACATGGGGAACACCACAAGGGGGGCATGGATGCTTACAAATTGCTACGGGCCATCGATTGAACACCCAGGTTTGCCTTTGACTTAGCCAGTGGGGTGTATCAAGACTTATGACATGCCTGCTCTGAGAGCAAACGCCACAAACACAAGCGCAAGGTATATGAAGGGTACCTAGCGGGGGTACCTACTCGGGTTTTTGGTCAAGTCCTATCCTTCGTTTGCATTTGCTGGGGTTTAATTGCAGATCCACGCTCGCGTATTCAATCTATGCTTGGGATGCATTGACTTCTTCCCTGAGAAATATCAATCAACAAGATCAACTTCAAGCATCCACGAAGGAGACCCTCTACCTTCCCACCCCGGGCGCAAGTTCCTTTTGGCATCCTGTTCAAACAATTCGCATTGTTTTGGGGGGTTGGGTATCAAAACACGTTCCTGGACCAACTGTTATGAGCTCGCCTGGGGGTTTGACACAAACCATGAAGAAGCTCTCTTTGGGTCTTGCTTAATTCTGTTTCGCAAATCATAGTTCTGCTAAGACAAGCGAAACCAGGACAAAGCTCCCATGCCAAGCTTCGTGAGGACCTGCCGGAGGCGGTGGCTGCACCAAGCGAGGAGGAGGTGGCCTTGGCCTGGCGCCCCAAGGAGAAGGAGACCGGAGAGCGGACGCTGTGGGTCGGCTTGGGGATCCCCCTTTCAAAATGGGATTGGGGGAGGGGGGTGATGGAATTCCATTTAGGGTTCCATTTTCCCTTTTGTGGGGAAGACTGAATAATGGAATTGTGGGACCCCCCACCCCCTCCCTAAAGGTAGGGGGGATGCTTGGGGTGGGGAGCTAAGCCTAAGCAGAAGAAGGAGAAGACCCCACGAGGGTTGGGCAAAGTTGGTTTGAACAAGACTCAAGATTAGAGATCCATCACACCATACCCCGGTTGCAGATTCATGTTTTTGTGATCTGCGCTAATGGAGGTGATGTGTAGTGATCAACGTTGAGGGGACGGGCTGCAAGTGTTTTTGACTTTTGCCACAACTTGGCATTCTACGGCCTGAGGCCTTCCTGCTGGGAATTTCCATGGGACAAGGTTTCGATGGCCGGCAAAGCATTCTGTTAAGTTGCGGAAGTCCCCGGCCCACAGCTAGTTGTATGTCAGATTTCTTCTATCCTGTGCTCAAGTCCGGCAACTGTGTCCGTGGACCCCCTACCCTGTTTTACATGACGCAGAAGGGCTGGAGACTTGAAAGGATGAGTTTCCTCTACCTGACCTGTTGCCAGGAGCCACGGGCTGGCGGGGTTTTCTGACGCGCAAAAAGGGTGGGATGTTTCGAGGTTTGAATATTGCAGTCCGGAAGCTGACCGTTTGATATATTATGGACAACCTGGGTCGCAGCTCCAGAAGATTGTTGGTCTTGGAAAGAAATCCAGCTGACAACTTGACAAAATAGCAAGGGCTTTTTCTTCAGCATTTTCTCCCCGGGCCCTGGCGGAGATGCGTTGTCGTTCCGCTTGTTGTTGTTTTTTTCGTGCTTGTTGCGAGGGAAATCAAAGGAGGCTGTTTAAACAGTAGTTAAACAAAGACTCGGCTCAGCTCTGGAGCCCTCTAACCTCGAACATGGAATCGTGGGAGTAATTGCTGACTCATTTTGTCGTTTCATTTTCTCCTTTTCGGGGCGACCGGATAAATGGAACTGGAGCGGAAGCTTTCCCGTTTTACCCTTGGGGTCACCGGATGAGATCGCCAGGAGACTTCCGGCAGCAGCAGCGAGAGCTTCTCCAGCAGAGGCGGCTGTCGGTTTTCGGGTGCAGGGGGCGGATGGCTCGGGTCCGAGCTGCGTGGCTAAATGAACAAATACAAAGATAGCGGCCTAAATGTTTGGCATTGGGTTTAAGACCCAAAAGAACAAGGCAGCGCTTTGAGCACAATGAGCACAGGCTTTTGGCACTCGTACTGGTGCAGGAGAGGTGGAAAGATGGAGAGATGTGGCCAGCCTCGCTTTGTTTTTGGAGATGTGGCTGCCCTCCCAGTACTTCCCACAGGTGCTTGCCCTCTGTAGGATTTGCTTGAATTTTGTTGTTGCTTTCTGCTTGGTTGTGCACATGTCTTGTCTCGCGCGTGGCATGGCGTACAGGGAGAGTCTTATATGTCCTTGTCGACATGACGCCGCGAAGGGAAACTCCACCAACATTGGCGACACGGCAGGATGTTGTGACCATCCCAACAAATTACACAGGGACAGCTTCTGGCTGACAATTGCCAACGGAAATGAGTGGGCCCTGCCAATCATTTCAACAAAGGCTCCCAATCGTTTTGCTCCATGTAGGTCGCAATGGAAATGCAGTCCATGGTCAAGTACCTGGGGTGGCAGGTTGGTCATGCACCACATTTTCTTTGTGCAAGGTTGATCAGAGGAGCAAATCAGGGACGATTTTTTCCAGGGAATGGGGAAGCGTTGTATGAAGGATGAGAATCGAAGTCGGCTCACTGAACCCCTGCAGTCTGTTAGGCGAGGAGAGCTCAGGGCGCTGGACGGTTCCGCCACGCTTGCCGGCCTGGGCCCGAGCGAGACCCACAACCAGTTCTGACCAGCGCTTGGTTGGAGCCACTTTCGGGCCACGCAGTTAGTGGCACCGGATTGGATGGATCCTGGTTGGTTCACATCGGGTTGTCCCCATTTTAAAGTGAGTTCATCAGTTTCAGGGGAAAAACACCGTCCTAAGAATCCGCCGAGTTGATCCATTTGGGGTCGACACTGCACACCCGCAGGAATCTCAATGTGGGTGTGACTTTTGGAATGGGCGACCATGTGGTGGCAGATTTTACATGGGGATCGTTGCCCACCGCCAATTTTGTTTTTTGGCCATTAAATTCATAGTCTGCTGTCATTTGTCACAGGTGCTGGTGTTGCCTTTTTATAAATATTGACTTTATTCTTCAGGTAAGGTTTAAAGGGGACATATACAACCCCTATTTCTCAAGATTAATAGCGCCACCCCCCAGTCCGCCAGTCAAAGGACAGCTATGAGTGCGTGGCAGCTCCGTGCGTGCTCTTGGCGGCTGCCTTTCTCGGTGCAGGTGGATTTGAGCTCACCGCCGCCGCGGACACCACGCGCGAGGCACCGCCAGCGAGTCCTGAACCCACTCGCCGGGTAAAGAATCAGATCTGCAAAACGGAGGTCCCCGGAAGTTTCCGCGTACACGTCCACCAATGGATCAATAGTTTCGGGCCACTGGATTCGGAGGAGAGGGCGCTGTGCAGATCTGTCAGAGGCAAACGACCAAGACTTGGATGCTGTGCTATGTATCGCTAGTACTTTTCCAGACCAATTTGCCAACCAGTGAATGGGAATGAACCATGGGGTGTTTCTACTTTTGTGACACCTTGTCCGTGAGCCATGTTCACCTGTGAGGCACCGCCGTCAAGATGAGGTGGGTTCCTTCTGTACGTCCGCTGGGCGAGGGTCAGAAGCAAGGGAAGGGGTCCCATGCTTTCGCGGCTGGCTGCTTTGCCTGCTGGGCCCACGTTGTTCATTGCAGGGCGAGTTTGCCCGAGCTGTCCACCACTTTACGGATGGGGGGATTTGCCATTTAGCTTGGCTCTGCGACTGGAAGTTGCATGTTTAGATGGCGCTCATGCACGCGCACAGAGAGACAGGCACACAAACGGAAAACAAGAAAACACGCACGCGGAGACATACGGACACGGAGACACACAGAGATACACCAACCAAGAAACAAACAAACAAACAAACAAACAAACAAAAAACAACCAAGCAAGTAAACAAGCAAACAAACAAACACACTACACACACAACCACCAACCACCAACCCGAACCGCCAGATCGTAAGCTGATGGGTTGCGTGGCAGGCGCGGGACGGGCCTGAGCCGGGCAATGCCCGCAGCAGCAGTGTGGCTTGGGCACAAGTGACGCTTTGGTGTCCAAAGCCTGGGTTGCTTGGTTGTTCAAAACCGATCTTTGTTCCTAGGAGTTTCCCCACACCCATGTCGAACTGCCAAGAAGCGAAGGGTCACACAATTTGTTGTGCCTGCTTTTGCTCAACACTTCGATCTGGGCGCGATTTGTGGCTTTGGGCCTCGTTTGCCAACATTGGTACCCCCTGCAGATCAACAAGGAACCCGACAAATGAACACTTCTAGAGGACGCTCCTTTCAAAGGGACCCTTTCTTGGAGTTCCGGGCCAATTTGTAGGGATGTAATCGCTTTTGCTCATCCCTTTTGGGTACATAATTGAGACGGGCACGTAGGGTTTTGAATTTTTAGCTCTGCTCGCTGTCGATCTTCAGGCCAGGTTTGGCTGTAGCTGTTGGTTGCTCCTAACCCTAGTGCTTGGGGTTCGGTCCCATTTTCAGGTGAATGCTCAACTCGATGGTTTCTATACCTTTACAGGTCTTAGCCGGGAAGGGTTTGACACCTCTCCTCAAAAAGGGCGGGTCCCATGTTGTTTCGACAACCGGGTGCATGTGGTAAACAATTCCCCTTGAACGTGACGTGTTTTTCCTGTTGGCTTTTGGGAATTTGCATAGCAAGGTCTGTCAGGAGCAGTGTTCGTTTGTGCGCAGGCCATTTGCGCGATGACTCCTTTTCAGAGAAGTCAGGACGTGCTACACCTGACAGATGTTCGGAACCCGTTTTTATCAGAACCTCTATGATTTCAAGAACCTTTCCTTTGGGTTGGGGCAGCCTTGTGCTAAGCACATGACCTCGCCACTTCTTTTGCGCGTCCGTACGCAGTACATTCATTCTTCGCTACAACGAGGTGGTCACCCGACTCCCCTTGCTAGCCTTAATGAGTTCGGGCCTTGTTGTTCCAACGAGTGGGGCCGGGGGGGGGTCCCAAGTTGCCAAGGCCCCTCGAGCTGCCAGTGTGGGACACAGGCCTGTGAAGTGTTTCGCAAGGCGTTAAAACTCGGCTGACTCAATTGCCCAAAGCATCTGAAGCTGACTTGACACTTTCTTGCATCTCATTTGAGTCTTCCAAACACACCTGTGGTTTGCCGACTTTGGGACGCCTTTTTGTTTCTCCCTTCCGAGAGGCGCCAGGTCCTCAGGTGCTTTAGGTTATTTGACAGCGTCCTGTGCAGATATACGGCACCATCGCCCCGGCCACAGCGAGAGGACGGGATTTGGTTGGCGTGGGAGGGATGGGAGGAAAGCAGAAGACCTGGGGATTGGAATGTTTACTGCTAATTTTCTGCCCGTTTCCCAGCACTGTCGAAGTGGAGAGGCGTCCCTTTCAAGAGGCTGGCAGTCCAAAGCCATCCAGTCCGATCGGTGGGCACATCTTGGTTCCGGGGTCCGGGAACCCTCCTTGAAGTGGTTTCCTGTCGTAAAGATATGTAAAGATAGCCTGGGAACATCAGGGGTCCCATTTCACACAAGGCTATGGCAATGGGCCAGCCCAGTTCAAGAAAACTACTCTGAAACTGGGCTTCATGGGTGTGCGTTTCGGTTTCACTTTCGTTTCTGAATGGAATCAACTGGTTTGAGTTTGATTCAAATCGTTTTCCCGAACCGGCCTATCTTTAAGGGCACCCAGGTTCGCCCAGCGCCAGCCGAGCTTCCCTAGCCGAGCTTGGTGAAGTCCAGCGAATGACCGTGCAAATGGCCTGGAGAGGCGGGGCTTTTCTGTAGCAAGCGATCTAGTGGCCCCGTGCCGAAAATCTCCACTAGATTCCATTGGGTCCCAAAAGGTGGCTGCTTTGTGAAGAACTTCTTCAGGACCTGCCCTGCTATGGCCTGGATGCAGAGCTCAAAGCAAAGGCCTTCAATTGCTTGCCTTGAAGCGGGAAGGCGGAGAAGGTGAGATCCATTTGGAAAATAATGATATTGAATGGGTGTTTTACAAGTCATCAATTGGAACCAAATGAAGACACATTTACATACTCATCATGGCTGGGCTTTGACGGAACCTTAGCCTTTAATTTAGATCGTGTCCAACCATGTTTGTATTTTTCGCGTGCAAGAGGCTTGCCCGTGGAGTAGACTCAGAGCTATTCAGGGGAACAGGCTGTTCTTCAGAGACAAGTCGTCTGAATCTTGCTGGGTGCCAGCTAAGTGGCTCATTTTTGCTCGTGTCTCAAAAAGAAGCAACATGGAGTGGGCTTCTTTGCGTGGCGCGGCTTCCACTATGAGCGCCAGTTGGCTTTTTTTGTTGGGAGGGGGAGTTGGGTCAGTGTTGAAGCCACGAACAAGCAGCAGGATGGTTGTTTCCCTCATTCCCACGAGCTCCAAAACACGGGGGATGAGGCGAAGACGTGCACGCCCCTCTGAACTGACTTCCCCTAAAGAGGAGCCATCTTGAAAGTGATGGACAGAACTGTGCTCGCATCAGCTGTTCAACCAGCTCCACCCCCCGAACCCCCTCCAATCACAAATCGTCAACCCCGAGGGTTGAACAAAACCACTTGGCCTGGGCCAGGCGGCAGCCAAGTACAGTCCAGAGGCGGAGCAGTCAGCAGCCCACTGGGTCCAGGCGCCGGACATCTCTTTTGCAGTTCGCGTCTTTGGTGCGATTCTCTTTGGTGTGCTTTTTAGGTGATTTTGGTTAGACATAGATTGCAGCAAAGCCGCAAAGGGGTCCTCTTCCCTAAACGGATAGCTCACCTCGCACAGTCCAGTGCCCTCCCACGTTTTCGGGAGTTCCTGTGAATGGCACAAAGTCCTGCACCAGTTGGGATGGATGAAGCCCTACTAATTCTAGGCTATTCCTACCAACTGTTGCAGCATGTTTCAAAGCAGATCCATTGCATTTGCCAAAGGGAGCAGTAAAAATAGGCATGACCAGTACGGACTTTACACCAGCCATTTGGCTGTGGCTTAAAACAACATGTACCCAAATGAACCCCTAAATGGAACCAAGGCTAAACCCTGCATAACCCTAGCTCTTGAATTTGGAGCCACACCCATTTGGGAGTGTATTTTTGTCCACAAAATCAGTCGCGGAAGCCCCAAAGGCGGTGACCGGCCACCCGGTGCTCGGCGACTTCGCTGGAGCCTTGCGCTGGAGCCTTGGGATGAACGTGGCACCCGTCGCGGCCTCCGGGACCCCCTCAAAATGGCTCCGCGTTTCTCAGTCGTTCAATGCCAACCTTTTTATCCTTTTGGTGTTCCTGGTGTTGTCCGCTTTTAGTCAAGGTCCCAAAAGGCTAACCTTTGTATTTCTAGGTCCTTTGGGCAAGTGAGGTTGGGTCCCGGAAGGAATCCATGTTCCTTATTTCTGAAAACGTCAAAAAGTTGGCCTCACACTCTATTTCGCCCATCGTTCTTTGCAATCACCAACCCAAACGTCTTTAGATTTGAGGCAATTCTCAAAAAATCAAGGTTCCCGGGAATGATGTCAGAAGACACGGGTTGGCTCAGAGAATGCAGTGCAAAAGCAAGTGCACAAGTATCCCATGACCGGGGCTGAATGTTAAAGTACCTCAGAAGCCCATTCTAGTTATTTGAGCCCTTGTGGCACGGAATGGGCTTGTAGATGGAAACCACGTGGAAGGTGCAGCTTTGGCGGCCCTGACATGGTGTTAGCTCGTTCCAGCGTATGGCTCTCCAGTAATGTTAAGGGACGCCCTCTTTCAGAAAATGCAAATGCGAATCAACCTTTTGCATTGTCAGCATGGGGAAGGGTAACATGATCTCGCGCGTGAAGGACCATCGAGGGCATCAATCAAGCCACTCGGAAAGTCGATCCCAGGCGTCTACATTCATTTGAGCAGTGGAGCTTTGAAACCTGCAAGTGTAAACAAGAAGGGCAAGAGCAAACAAAAGCGTAGGATCAAATATTGCAGCTTCATGGATGGTTCAACACACGTATGGGTGTGTTGCTTTTGCAGACTGCCCTTTGCTTGTGGTTTTAACGGGAAGCCAAAAGGACAACCGCCATTTTTCAAAAGGACAACCGCCACTGTCTTTGTTTTTTTTTTTGGGGGGGGGGTCCCTTAAAAAGACACACATGCATGCATATTTACCTTGGGCGCAATGTTTGGGTTGAAACAGCATTTGCATCTCGCTTGCAAGGTTCCGGCGCGATCCTTTGCGATCTGGTGAACTGCATCCGACCCGGCAGCATTCCCAAGGCCTGGTTGCCTTATAGTTGGGAGTTATGAATGCAGTCCCCTTCTTGCCCAAAGGTCTAGGGGTTGATCATTCTTTTCAACCATCATTCTTCCAAAAACCGGGTTTCCTGAAAAGAAGGATCCCTGGAAGAATGGGGAAGGTACACCTAGAAAAGGGAATGATTTGTGCCGTCTACTTTCACACTGCGACATGCCCTGGAACATTTGCACCCTTCTTTATCCTCTCCCATCCCATCGTCGGGAGCGTACAAACGAGCGCAGATTTCGTTTGTCAGCCTGGCCCGGCTCTTTTTGCTTTGGGAAAAATTGGCAAACGCGGAACTGCCTCACCACCCCCTTTGGTCATGATCCATTTGAAGGCGACCACGTTTGGACAATTCGACTGGGTGCTGGGTAACAGGATTCCCTACATTTTCCTTTTGGTGGTGTCAACATCACCTTTGGGGCAAATTTAAGGTGAGTTCCTTTTAGAGGGTGGTGTTTAAGGGGAACAAAGAGAACTCTGGGTACTCCGGCTAGTTGTTCTTCTTGGGCAATTCGATTTTGAGAGACAAATCAGGGGAAGTATCTCAGGGGTAGACCGTCGACATGATTAGTGCGGCTGTCGCCATCATATTGCATTGCACTTGTGGTTGCTCAGGCATGTCTGGATGTTTTCGTGCTTGGCGAATCGCGTCCAGGTGAACCCCCCTGGGATGCCATTCAAAGAGAGCCGGGAAGCTCAGGAAGGAAGCAAGATGTAAGGGGCGAGATTGGCAGTGCCTTGCTTGCAAGGTTGACAAGTAATCAGTTAACGTGGAACGCAACATTGCATTGCAAGGGGATTTGGGTTGCAATCAACATTGAACTTTGAGTTTGACTGCCATGCAGCGAATGATCGATCGGCTCAGGCTGATGCTTGCCATGAGCTTACCATAATTCGAACCTGAAAGGAACAGCTGGATCCTCATGGCACTGGCTGGGTCTGGGTTTCTTCAAAGGGGACGGGGGCCTTCTGAACCAGGAAGCCTGGCCTTGGGTTTCCACCTGTTGGTTTTCTGCTCGGCACAGTGGAGCTGTCTCTGTGAGGGCGGAGCCAAATTGAAGAGGCAAGGAAGGGCAGCTTTACCAGTTGGAACAACCCAAATTCTGACCCAGAAGGTTTCTGAGCCTGCCCCTCGCGCGAATCCCCCTTCCACTTCGAGCATGGGCTTGGAGGGATGCCAACAGGAAGCCACAGACAAGGCGCACTTTGAGGGGAAGCAATCTGCAAGGTTGTTCTTTATACTTTGGGTGTCGCGAACCAGTAGGGCTTGGAGTTGTTTATGAGGTGTACTCACGAGAAGTCCGTTAAACCAGCCTACTCCACGCTCGTTTTTCATCACCTTCGTTTGGTTAGGTACACGTTGGTATGAAGCCTACCTGTGGAACCTTAAGCCAGAATCTGGCAGATGGTGCTTGTACCGTTGACTTCTCTCTGACACATCAGAAGGATCGGTCAGCAACAAGTTCGACTTGCAGCATCAGAGTGAGCCCTTCACATATCACAATATGGTGCCATTTTTACTGAGTTCCGCTTTAGTGGGTGATGTTTCATGGAGAAAGATCGGGGACCTCCATTTGATGGCTCAGGGGAGAACATCAGCAACTTCCTACGGGCCTGCCGAAACTTTGGCGTGCAGGCGAGGCTTTTGTGCGGAAAATGTTGGATTCATGTCCACTTCGGATGAATCTGAGGAATAATGCTGTAAAACTTGTTCTATTGTTGAGGTCACTTTAAAATTTGATCATAACTCCAGTTATGCAATTCCTTCATTGCGCATTTGTGAGTTGCTATTTGACATTAGCCCAAAGAACCTGCCAGTGTCAGCTTTGCAGAATGGGGAGGACCATGCTAGCCGTTGGCGTCAACCCCATAGAATGAAGTTGGTTCCACGGTGAAAGTGGAACCACCCCTGATTGATGAATCCGAAGTTGAATTCAGCGCGACCCACCTGAAAGGCTCCGATTCTCCACTGAAGCGAAGACCCGGGTGATACTCCCGCGTTCATTTTAAGGGAAGAGTACTGAGACCGCCATCCTTTCCGGTCTTCCAACTTGGAAGCTGGCAACGTTACACAAGGCTGCGGCTTACACGCAAACTTGCTAAGCCATTGACAAGCGCCTTGACAAGCGAAACTTCTTCGCGAAATGCTGATGTTTCACGGCATTACTAGGGTTACTAGGGCCTGTTCAGACCTTTGGAGAAAATCAAGGGCAAACCCTCACAAGGGTGTCTACACTGTCTACACTGTCTACATATTGAGGGAACCCACCTTGACTCTCCACTAAGCAGGCGGCCCAAAGCGGGATCCTGCACCTTTCTTTGTGGAACGAGTTTTTAAGCTGGCACCTCTCATTCTTTGCCATTTTGGCCGGTGGTACAAGCAAGGTTGCCAAGTCATCCACAAGGCTTCAAAGGATTTCTTTCAATACCCGCAACAACAAACCGCCACTGGGGCAAAGCCAAATCGAGCCAGGAGTATGCGCTGTTCTCCACGGATGATCTCTACGAAGAGCCTGCTGCCTTAGCTGTTTGTCGCCTGAGCTCGCGCCCCTATGGCTGAGAACGAGGGTAGCCTCTAGGTTTGTCAGGGAGAATCAAAAGGAAAGCCATCGTTTGGGGGTCCAAATCCCTCGACAAGAACCGGACTTGCTTGCAGCTTACGAAAATTCGGGGGTGTAAGTCCAACACTCAGATATGTGCTTCATTATGGGAGGGTGGGATAAATCCCAACTTGCCAACTGTTGATGCCCAATGCTTGTGTTGGTGTTTCGTAGGTAGGGGACCTCACCAAATATCGGCTTTCCAGTGCGCTTCTGTCGTGTCGTGCCAAGTGGTCCATGCTCGTTTCTTTGCATGGGGGTCATGAACATGAGTTGTAAGACATTACACACAACTGCAAGCACATCCAACTCAAAGAATCGCTCATTCATGAGAATTGGCTTCAACAAAACTCAGTAAAAGCCGATGCCTTAAGGGCACGCAGGGGGTTGAATCAGTTGATGCAGCGGGGAGATGCACTTGTCCGATCTCAGTTGCTCGGCGGTGCCAGTTTACTCCGTTTGCTGGATTTCCTGAGTCAGATCAAGTCAAGCCGACTCCTAGCTGTTTCGCCCTAGGAAGAACTTGACGTCAGTGGTGAACTGTATCTATGCGTTGGGCACCGGCCTCGGCTCTGAACTTTTCTTGCTCGCAGCCGGTTGGACCTCACAATTCCACGAAGGGGAGGCATATTGTTGGCGAGGCTTCGCGGGACAAGCATCAACAGGAATGATATTGGGACACCCGCGCCCCTCACACCCGAGAACCTTCAAAAGGTTCCAGGAATTTTCCTTCGTTCCAAATTGACCAAGGCCCCCTTTTTTGTCACGCCCACCAACATGCCCTTTGGAACATACCTTCAGCTGCACAATATGATTTTTCCGCCCGGATGGAAACCCTGGGCGCGGAGAATGTCACGCATGTGAAGGTATGGGTTTTGGGCTTTGTACGGGGGCGAGCAACAGGGCAAGTGGGCATTCATGCCGACATCGATTACTGCATCTTCACACACCATAAGCAAGATGCGGGTTTGTCCACATCCTCAAAAATGGGCACCCCTCAAAGTGGTCGGTGCCTTCTGATTTCCGTGTGGCAGTGCCAAAAGGACCCCCTCTTTTGTGGACACCCCCACATAGTTCAGAACACAGTTGGGACAGTCCCCTTTGGTGCGTTTGTCGCACACTTGTTGTACCCTTTTGAGTGATTGGCATGATTCGGATATTTGCCTATTTTGTTGTGACTACCTGGATGTAGGTCTTTTACAATTCTCTTGGGAATTATTGAATTCTTGTAGAAATTGCAGCACACCAGGCCCTAGGCCTGATGTAGGGCACACCAGGGGGGATCTTAGAATCTGCAGAAGCCGGTCCTTGTGGCCTTGTGGTAAAACGCCACTTGCGTTCAATTCGAGGTGGTGCAGTGCAGCGTTATGTGCCGGACTTCACAGGCGCGGTTTTGTTTTGCCCACTGGGGCGGGTTTCGAGGAACAGAGCGGCCTCACTATAGCACCTCTTTTGGGGTGGTTTTTGTCTGGAAGCCAATTGGAAACCACCCATTTTCGAAGGTGCCTCGATTTTTCAGACAAGATCAAGCCCATATATAGTCAATCGTCCTATCTGCTGTTTGGGCGGGGGAGGGGGTTTTGGGGAGGGGATAGCCACCGCTTGAGTTGCCAATCTGCCCTTTGGCAGGGTGCCGTTTCATTGGGACATATGAGCGTCGTCAAAACCTCTGGAAGACCAATATGTGAAGGGCTGGGCATGACATACGGACATGCGCTTTGAGCGTGCCAAGTATTCAGAAACGATGGGGTCTAAAAGAATCGATAATTCAAGCAAACATGGATTGTTGTACTTAACCACCCTTATGTAAGGAAAATGAGCAGCTGCCAAAGTTTACTTCCCTTACTACACTTGTACTGAAGGTGCGACTGTCGAGGCGGAGCTGCCAACGTGTACTTTCTTTTCTACACTTGCACTGAAAAGTTACAACTTTCGTGCCGGAGCTGCCAAAGTGCACTTGCTTCACTACGCTTGTGCTGAAAAGTTGCTTTGTTCGAGCCGGAGCTGCCAGTGTAGTTCCTTTTTCTACTTTCGCACTCAAAAGTTGAAGGTTGTGACTTTCGAGCTGCAGCTGCCAAAGTGTATTCCGAATCCTCGTGAAACGCAATAGCACGCAACGATGAGTTACAAAAGGCCGATCGCGCTACCCAATGTCCTTGTTCTATACAAGAGGAGTCTCAAATTGCTCATATGGCTTGGTCTCAAAATGGCGAATCCACCCTGAAACTTGGGTGGATTTCCCTTCGTGTCCCTTTGAAATGAACCTTGAACAAGGTACACTGAAACAGAGTGAAGCCCATTTGGATCAGAGATTGCAATGGGGCTTGGAACTTAACGTCAAGGAAACACCTATTTGACTGGGAGTTGTCAACCAGGCAAAAAGACGGTTTTTGGGTAAGGAAGCTTTTGGAGGGAATCCACAACTTTTCGCTTCAACAAGGCAGCTCCAAGCTCTGCGAAAATTCAGCCAGTTGCTGGTTGTGTCAGAATTTCAATCGTTTCCTCGTATCATGCTAAAGTACCTTTTTTTGGGTTGCTGAAAGCCTGGGAAAATCACCATTTGGTTCGCCCCAGTGGAAACAAGCTCATACTTCCTCTAAAAAGATGGGTGCTACATCCGAGGCTCTGTATCTTTCTATGCATGTTTTGAGGGACTGGTGGCTGGGGTTTGCCAAAATCAACGTGCACCGTTGGAACGGCGTTGCACTAAGTACACTGTGGTATCTACAGCCGGCATCCACATCATAGAAAGAAACCACACAACATGAGCTGAACATGTTGTTGCTTGGAGGTCTTGATGCGCTCTTGTTCTGACCATTTTCCCCATGCAAAGGTTGGACTACTATGAAGCTTAGGATCTGTTGGGGCCGGCGAAATAAGCAAGACGTTTGGTAATCTGGGCTCAGAACCATGATCACCCTTACTGTATGACCCACCCCCTTGCCGTCTATTGTCCATAGCTTGTGGCTTTTGAGGTTGAAGGGCTGGTGCAGATGCTCATGAACGCTTTGAAAGGGAGTTTTAAGGAGCCAATGCAGTGATGTTTTTCATGGAACTCTGACCATGTCCTGCAGTTTTGATCTGATCGCGCCGTACCACGGCGCACATAAAGCCAGGTTGTTGGCTGGCCAGCTTTCTTACTTGACTGTTCTTGACCAGAAACCTATGTTCAGCTTGCCTATTTGCCCATGGGACGTATGCCCGATTTGCCGCCCTCAAGCAAACATGAGTCACCGGGGAAAATCCAAATCCACTCTTCGATCCCAAACGTCAAACTAATGCATTGTATGGGAGACTCGTAGCGCCAGCAGAAGGGGGGCACAATGCGCGAAGCTTGCCCCCCAAATAGTTCCAATGTGTGTGTGCCCAAGGTGGACAATGTTTGCATCCCTGCCCCACCGCCCGCGTTTTAGGTCCCAGCTTCGGAGTCATTGACACTTCCAACACCAAGCGCGAGCAGAAGCGCGATCTGGGCCCTGTGTCACAGACCGGAGGCAGGGTCCTCCGAGCGGCTGTAGCATGGTTTTGGATCTTTACTCAGGGGAGCGAAGAAAGGGTCCAGCTTGCACCAAAGGACAATTATGCGTGTGGCATCCTAAGACCTAGAGTCACCCATATTCCTTTGGAAACTCTTGGAATTCAATCGAACTTCCGACAGTTTGGATTTTGGGGTTGGGGGGAAGACTCAATGATGTGTTGACACCCACCATTTTTCAAGTTGGAGTTGTAGTCACAACAAGTGTGGACACACTTTTTCGGGGGCGTGCTCTTCAGTTTGTCCATCAAACAGGGATATACATGGTGTGTCAGTCGTGGGCAGGGGGTTCTAACGGGTGGCTCCTCCCAAAACCCGTGTTTTCCCTACATGTCCCCTCCTTCACGCCAGGCAAAATTCCTTCAACTTGCTGCTCAGTAGGGAATGCCAATTTTCTGGTTTTCGGGAATGAACCTGCGGATTCCCTTTGGAAACCATGGGGAGGATGGGTTTCCTCGGGTTTCCATTTCTCATTCCCTGCCTAAGTCGTCACGCCTCAGAAGCTCGAGACTCGAGGCCTTCGCGGACCCTTGGAACGCTCGCACCTGGACATGGTCTCCAACTCGAACGCCGGGCGCCTTTTAAAAACGTGGCCCCTGATGTGCCAGGGAAATGACCCCAAGGGACTTGCTTTTTGCTTCTTTCTTGTGGCCCTTGTGGAACTGGCAAGAATCTTGCTGGCGTATGGTCGGGGGTTGCCCATTTTTGCGGCGGGGGGGCAACAAATGTTATGCGTTGATCGAATGGGCTTTTCTTAGATGATGGGATCTTCCGAAATGATTGGTTGGTTCCAAACATAAAGAGTACCCTCCAAATGCTCCCCCCCCCCCCCCCGGTTTGAACACCTGCCAGCGCCGTGACCAATTTCCCTCGAATTCCAACTTGATTTGAAACCCTGCGTATTTGCAGCGTTTGTGCTCAATTTTCACTAGGACCTTACGAACAATGCTTGTTGATTCACTTGTTGATCAACATATTTCACTTGGGGAGTTGTTCTTGGCAAAATTTGGGGCCGTCGAGATGCTTGCCTGGAAACGAGGCGCGGCTCGAACTAGCAAGCCAAAGGTTTTTGGGAGTCAAATGGATCCTCTCCATGCGGTCCCCAAAACGAACACAACAAACGAGGAAGCTTCCACGGTGATCCCCAGAGCTCAAGAAACCGAGGTGGCCCAAGGATGAATTCACCTGGGTCAGTCGCAATCCAACCTGAACAAAATGCATCCCCAAGTACCTTCCACACGTAGTTTGTGGGGAAGCCAAAGGAAGACCACCGATCTTACTTGAATAATGCAAATCCAACTTGCCCTCGTTTGGTTTTGGCACACGGCTCACGCGGGCACTTGCCTGCCATGATGGAGACCTGTTGAGCTTGGGAAAAGTGGTAGTATCAGGGGCCAACCTTGTGCGTATTGCTTGATTCATTTGTCTTTAAATGTCCCGCGCCCCCATTCTAACGATTTAAGCCTTCATAGTAGCACCTGGAACAAGGCAAACCGAGAGCCATGCAAATTGTAAGATATTGTAAGTGGGTTTACCAGCCTGGGTCTCCCTGGGCAATTTTGGGCCATAGGTCCCTACCTCATCACATGTGCATGGTTGGGGTTGTTTGATAAAGCTGTGGACGGGTTCCTGGACCTTCATGCTCAAAATGCCTACCTTTTTGCTGTGATTTGCCTTTTGGGCCAACAGCGCGTAATCTTATGGAAAAGTGCGATCTCCCACCGTAAAAGCAGTTTTCCACGCCAACGACGAAAGACACGTGTTTTGTGGGCCAACGCCTCAAGTTTTTGACCCTTGGAAGGTCATTTGGAACGCATTTAGTTGCCTTCTCACAAAAGATGTTGGTTTGAACCCATGAGGGACTTTGGGGGTGACCTGAATAATTGCAAGTTCTGCATACTGCTTGAAGGATGCTTCTTTGCCAAGGTCCGAGTTGGTGGATGCTGATGTGAGTGAACATGGCGCTGAGTCCCTTTTCAGCCGGGCTTGATATTGCGTTCGCCCCTTGGAAGATGGATGGTGGCAGGACCTTGTGCTCGCAACAAGGTCACATTCTGGGCTGTTGAATGCGCAAACTCTAGCCGTGGGCCGATCGTCAGCCTTTTCTGGGCAGTTTGGTGTTGGAAAGGTTCCCCTACTATTCAAAGGGGCTGGCAATGCTTTCGGCATTTGATGTGCACGAGAGCACAGCTCTGGAATTCGTGCATGAGCGGTCCCGTTGAGGCGCAACAGTGCAACAGTTCACACGATTGTCGATTTGCAAGCTATGGAGTCATTTGCTGGCAAGTTACAGCGTCAAACGATCGGCTCACCAACTCGTTGAAACAAGCGCAACTTGATTCGGAATGTGCGCCTCGCTTTTTAATGCGTGGATCTCGCAGCTCAGTTCACCAGAATTGGCTCATGGCTTTTGGCGTGAAGCAGGACAATTTGTTCGACCTTTCAAGTGGCCCGTTGCTAAGGCAAACAAATGCATAAGGAACGCATACATCATCAGCCAGAATTGCTTGCAGCGTTTCACATAAAAAAACCAAGGGTCAGATGTTTTCGGATGTTTTCTTCCTGGCCACGAGTCAACCAGGAGATGCAAAGTACATCAATTATGCAACGAAGTCATTTGAGCGGCGGTCCGGAAATCTGGAAGCATGATGTTTGAAGACTTTTGCTTGCACGGGGAAGCCCTGCTTCACTTTTGGTGCCCTGTGGGCACTCGCGTCAATGCGTGCACGGCCGCTGATCTAATTCGATTGCAAGAAACGGAGCGCGGATTCCTCGTGAGTGGTAGCTCTTAGGCATGGGATGCGAAAGGTCCACTCGACGTTTGAGGCACCCACCAGTTGCGTAGCTTTGCCACAGGCTGCTTTTCCTCAAGCAGTAGGAAGGCGAGGGTTGCCGGATATTTTTGGGAGCCAGATGTGCCTGGCAACCAAATCTCAAGGCCGCGCAAGGTGCGGGCTAAAGGTTTCCCAAAATCCACGTGCCGCCAGAAAAGCAACTGGCGTAGGATGAGCCATGGGCAGCTCGATCGCAGCAACAGCGCGGCTTGGCAGATGACGACGGCTTCAAGCGCCTCCCCCCACAGTTGATGCGAATGAGTCAAGAATTCAGCTATTTATTTGTTGTGCTTGGAGGCGCGAGTCTGTTTTTGGCCTGTAAAGACAGGTGACCCTGCACAATCAAAGGCACCCTTGAGACCATTTTGGTCAGTTCGGAACATCTCAGATGGTTCACATTGTTTCTTGAAATCCATCTCAACATGTGACATCCGTTTTTGGATTGTTTCGGAAAGGAAACCATGTTGGCTAGCTCAGCCGAGGTCTGAGCCTACATTCGCAGAGGAGTGCCAAAAACAACGCTTGGGAGGGGTAGCTGCTTGGGAGCGCCTATGGAGCAGCCAGTTTTGTGTTTGGGGAATTCTGATTTGCAGGTTCTTTCCGAGAGCTATTAAGAAAAGAGAGACACCCCCCTTAGGATCAGGGTCGGCGGTCGTGTGTGTGCTGTTACGGCCAGTTTCTGCATGTTTGGAGGGAAGCGACTTATTGGCTGTACCGCCAGACCCCTGGAACATACCCCCTCAGCTGCCATATTTCTTCTTCGGGGGTTTGATCAATGGGAAGAGTGGTTCGCAAGGAGTATGTTGCACAGCTTCCTTCGATCATGTCCCATGAGCCGGGATTTGGGATTGGACGCGGCCTTCCAATTGGAGGTTTTTCTTTAGGCCCTCCAGGGGCGAGTACTCCCTGTGGGCATTTGGCCATACTAGGTTATCTTCATGCTTGGAAATCTGGGTTGGGCCAGCGTGTCTGTATTGATTGGATCCTGTGAGTGTTTTGCAGCCTTCCCTGTGTCTCTTGGCAGGAGGTGCAGGAAATTAGCAAGGCAGCAGTTTGCCTCAGTTGCTTTCGCTCGGGAGGTGGAAGCAGCGCTGCGCTGCAGCATTCTGACTGGAACCGTTGGTGACCAAAGTAGTGTGTGTGTGTGTGTGTGTGTGTGTGTGTGTGTGTGTGTGTGTGTGTGTGTGTGTGTGTGTGTTTCTCCGGTCCCTTACTAGGTTGGATGGTCAAATCATTTTCCTCATCCCAGCTTCAACCTGCAGGGCATTTTATTGTTCTTATTGGCGCAGCTTGTGCCGATGCGCGCAGCCAATCGAATTTGACTTTCTGTCTATGCCTTCCGACGTCAGACGAATTTCGGTCGTTGCCACTGACACGAGTGCACGGTCGAACCCGTGGTTGGGGCTTGAGGGCACATACCGCGCCTCATGCGAGGCGCGGCATGTCATGGAAGGCTTTTTGTTGCAGGGCCCCTGATATTTCCCCTCTACTGTTTGGGTCAAAGCACTTTTTTTCTCCGTTGGCAAAGAGCTATTAAACATGGATGTCAAGGTATTTTAAGCGTCACCCCAAAGAGAGACTGCCTTCACAATGGTGCATAAGGTGGCATCTTGAAACCAGGCAGCAAGGAAGTCACACCAGCCTCTTGAGGCTGCTGACACCTACGACGAAGCTCTGCAGCAAAGAGTTTATCTTGGCAGCTCGCCCGCAGACGGATGCGTGAACTGCAGTGCTCCCCCTACCATGGTTTTGGAAGAGGGGGTTTCAGGGCCACTTTGCATGATACATCGTGATACCAAGAAGGCGGGAAGAAGCATGGGGAGAATTTGCATCCCGGGCAAAATCGAGGAAAGTGCGATTTGTTTGGGCACTGTTTGGGATTTGAAGCACTCTGCGACTTCTGAAGCAGCACCAGCATTCTGTGAGCAAATAGGCGCACCCTGTACGCGGAAACCTGCAGTTTGCAAAGGCATGGAGGTGGACGGGTTTGGATGATCAAAGGGCATGTTTCCCATGAGGGTGGTTGAAAGAGTGATGGTTTCAAGAGGTTCAACTTGGTTCAACCCCCGTTGATTAAGCACAATTCGGAAGGAGCCCCCAAAAATGCTTGCGTAGTTATTTGGGCGCATTGCCTTGTCCTCGGCCACCGGACCCCAAAAGGGGCAAACTGATTAGCCTGCGTGGGATGCTCGCTGTCAGCAGTAAGCATCGGACACTCCTGCTTTCAGCCGGTGCAGGCAAGAGCCAGATGCTAAACAACCACCATCGAACAAGACAACGCCACATCGCGCATACTGTTTTGTTTGTTCGCCTGTTATCCACCCAGAATCACCCAAACACCCCACCCCAAATTGAGGGAGGCGTTTTTGTTTCGGGGGTGAATTCACGGCCAGAACCCATCGCCAGAGTCTATTCGGACGATGAGCTCGCTGAGGCCTGCCCCGCTTTGAGTTGGATTTCCCAAATTCGGTTAAAGAAGTACCCGAATCCAGCTTCCAAATACCAGCGAATTTGGAGGATTGGTTGCAAAGGTGGTTGATGCAATGAAGGAACCGGCCCTGTATTGCCCCTTTCGGTGGTTTTGCGCATCACCTTTTGAGGCAATTTGAAAGCGAGTTTCCTCCGTTTCCTCTTGGCGGGGTGACGCTTAGCATGGAAGTGGAAATGTGATGAAATGTGTGTTTCTCAGCGTAGAGGACCTCATAGCATTGCTTGCTGCCTCTTTGTTTTCCTTCGGGCAACCAAAGGGTTTGCCGGAATGTGTTTGGGCCCTTCAAGGCTCACTCCCCCTGAGTTCAAGTTTGGACTTCGTGTGGGCCAATCCGGCAGTGGGATATGGGCGTTCCCCTTTGGATGGTTGAATATCAGTCTCGGGGGCCAATGTCACGTGATTAGGTGACAGAAGGTTCTGGCTCATGGACACCGTCCGGTGACAGAAGGTTCTGGCTCATGGACACCGTCCGGTTTAGGGCGGGCATGCTAAGTGCGCTGTTTGGTTAGATTTGAACTGGGTGGTCTAGATTCATGGCTTATCTTCGTTTTGATCTTGGCCCCTTAGACCTTTTGGAAACTATTATGTGCCGTGCTTTGGGCAGGCTTGTTGCACATGTTCAGCTTTGCTCACATTCAACGGCCCTCCTTTTGGGCTTGAACCCAACCCAAGCCTTTCGCCAGAATGTGGCTTGGGCAGTCGGGTCTTTGGCCGATCCTTTGCAAGGAGCGACCCGACACGTTTTTCTGACGAAGAGCCACCCTGCGCCTGCGCATGTTGCAAAACGCTACCAAGCAAGCGGCGCTGTGAGCTGGCTTGACGGGCACTTTCCTACAAGCATTTGGCAAGTCTTCCCCAAAACCCGTGGCTGTCAGCGAGGCTCCTGCCTTTGGCCCAGGAGAAGGCGCGGAGGTGAACACATGGCTGAGGCAGAGCAAAACCTGCGCTGGTTGGCGCCAGATACCACGTCGTCAATCACCCTCTGCTTACCTGAGGACTGGGTGATCAATAGTCGCTTGATCATGCGGAGTAGCCATCGTAGCTGCTGCAGCGTACACCGCCCCTGAGCTTAAGAACGACCATCACCCGAAGCAGGTCTGCATTGAATCAGGCTACAAGCGTCTACTGTGCTGGTGCGGGATGTCCTCTGAGGCCCACACCTTCAAACCCCGACAAGAGCTAGCTGCAGAGCAAGATGTTTGGCCACTGCGGGACTAAAACCAAGGCCGCAATCAGGGCTAGATGCGCCTGGGGGTTTGCTGTCAGGATGTTTCTGCTCAAACACCCCACGCTACTCGGCCTTCTTCTTGCAGTCTCAGAGTTCAACAGGGTGCCCTCTTGCCTGCAAGCTGTCTCAAGACGCATCCTTCGGAGGCTGGTTTTGTTTGTACTTTTTTAAAAACCTGGTCAGGATTTTGACGAATCAGCGAAAATTGATGACTTCGTCGGTGCAGCCTTGCAGAAATGAAGCTTACCGCCGGGCATGGCAGCCAGGCTTTGTGCCTGCCTCACTTTCCTTGCCCCAACTTAAGCGTGAGAGAACAGCGCCGCTTGCGCGCAAAAACCCTTGGCTTGCGGAGGCAATTGCTGCTTCCTTTGGCACTGGAGGGCTTCTTTTCTTGGATGCTGCTGGCCAAAAGGGAGAAAGCGAGAGGGAGAGAGAGAGAGCTGCGGGGGGAGATTGCGCTTCATGTAAAGCTGCGGTTGAAGTGTTTTTGTCCATCAAACGTGCAAAAGGTTAGAGCTGTTTGCTCCGGGGGAAAGCGCGTATGATATCAACACAACTATGTATATATATAGTTATTTATTTACACAGGCCGTCACAACTAAAATATGTGTATACAAGGGTTTGTCTCAAAATGAAGAACCTCCGAAATGGATTAATTTGCCTCGAACGCGAGCGTGATTCTTCACAATGATGTAACCCACGTCAAGGTCGAGAAGCGACTCTTACCAACACGCTGTTCTTGGGCAGTCCCTGCGCAGGAGTTGCTATCGAATGATCTGTAGTTGAAGAAAAACACCTCAATTATAGGTGCTATCGCGGTGATTCTGGGACTTTCCTGCAACTCGTCCAATGCCTAGTTGAGCAACTAGGCACAGGGAAGCGGAACAGCGGGGGAAATCAGCAGAACCGCAGAGTTGGCATTGCTTGGATTGGGGCATATTGGGGCATTCCACGTCGCTTTGCATGGTCGTTCTTCTCTCGCAGCCAGGCCGAAGATGTGCATTCCTTGTGGCGAAGGGCACAGTCATCACCCAGGCACGGGGACGAAGTTGTTTGTTGCAGGGCAGGGCCGTCGGCCATTTGATGGCGCGCGCGTTGCGGTTTCCTTTTGCTTCGGCAAAAGGCGCATGTCTCGCCGGAGCAAGACAAATCGGATTGAGTGCCGGCTGGTGGGCGGCCACTTGTGTTTAATGCGACTTGGTTGCTACAGCTTCGCCCCACCAGTCCCAAACGCTGCGCGACTTTACCCCATAACCCATAAACCAACCGTCAACATCAGGAAGACGTTCGGACCTCCTAAGCCCAGAAACAGCCCAGACATGATTTTGCCTGTGGCCCGTGGCCGAAGTGGCCATGCGCAAATGCAGGCCGGCCCAGACGTCGGCCTTGAAAGCAACAAGGGTTTCTTCAACACACCTACTTTTTGCTGCATTTTTTCAAGACCCGCTGTGGTTGAGCGCTGAGAGTTGAACTTTGATTTCCCAAGAACAGGCGCACACTTAGAGGTTGTGACTCATGACAAGCTCACTTAGCGGGCACGCAAGGTGAAGACTAATCATCCTTGTGAAGAGGTTTCCTTGATTGAGTGTTTGAAATTGTTTGTTTGAGATTTTGGTATGTCAAAATAGGCCCCGCCTCCCCTCACATGTCTGTTTGGCTTACTGCTGCTTTTCCCATTCAAACCGACCAAATGGGGTCCCCCAAAGAAAACACAACCCCAAATAGGTCTATCGCGGGGTTGCGGCTTCTTTCCAAGGAAGCTTCAACCGGGGGATGGATGATTTGTCTCGGTCTGTTCATGGCGAATTCGACTCCCGCAGGTCAAGACCCGAGGCTGGGGAGACGAAGGCTTCGCCGACGTTTCTGGGTGCCAAGCCCATTCTAGTGTTCCCATGACGGCCAAAGGAAAAATGGAACATGTCAACATGTGTTCCGTTTAGACCGGTTTAGACCCTTCATTAAAGAGGCTTTGGTTGCTAGGATTTGGGTGCTGCACGGAAACAAGCAGCCAAAGAAAGGAATTTTAATTTGGGCAGGATCACTGGGAAAGAAAAAGAGAAAGGTGAAACGCCACGCCACTTAACAGCGCACAGGCAGAAGGACCCATTTCACCTGTGATGGATTGCGTTCTGCATGGGCACATTCATATTGGAGGTCTTTTGGCACTCCTGAATTCAGGCAGATTGTTCAGATGAATGCGACTGTCAAATTGCTGGGGCCGTTTTCTGCAGGCGAATCTTCAAAATGGGACTTCCCTTCTAGTTGTTCGTCAAGTTCCAACATGATCCGGCCAAGTGTTTCCTTTGTGAAGTGGCAGCGGCTCACCCGCATGGTTCTCAAACAGTTGCGATGCTTGAGTTTATTGGAAAACTTGGCCCTGTTGCCATTTCGTCAACCGAGAGAACAGGAGACACCCAATCATTGTTGTCCTTCTTGTCTGGCTTCCATTGAAGTAACCCCAATAGGGCTACCCCCCAAGCAACGGCTTTTTGTTTGTTAATTATGTTATTGTTGTTGTTTTTATTTGGGGGGGGTTGGCCACCAACCGTTTTGAAGGGTATAGCCCATGATTCAGGGTTGCTCAAACCTCAAAACAGCCGCCAACCCACAGGGGTTGACAATTGGTGGGTCATGTTGATGTCCTCAACTCTTAGAGGTCTTTGGAGCAACCCTGTTTCAGTTGCTGTTTGTTTTCCCAAATGAGTTTCTCGCTTGAACACTTGCCATGGGCAGGCGCGCTCTTCGTAACTGGTCTGCAAGCCAGAAGTGTCGGGCTGTGTGACTGAGTGCCTGGTTTGCGAAGCTTTTCGATGGTTTGCTTGGGGATTTGAACGGCTGTTGTAAACTTTCTACATGGTACGTCAAGCCGCCCCCTAACCTCCAAACCACCATTCCGAACCACCACCTAGAGAAAAGCTGAGATTTGCCGGTTTAAACTCCCCGGCAATCGAATTGAGGAATTCAATTCAAAAGAAGCCCCGAGAACGAGCCCCAAACCTGCACAACATGAGTTGCGGGGAAGGCCACACAAAAGTGGGTGATGGTGAATGGGGAAGGTAGGGGGCCCTGTGTAGAATCATGAATCTCAAGATGTTTCTCTGTGACTCGTATCTAAACCAATGAGCCTAGCTTTCATAAGCTGGCCATTTTGGCAATGAGAGCTGTGCACGCCCAGACCAGCGGCCTGGGAAAGTGAACAATTCTGGTAGACACTACACCCTTGGTGCCATAGTAGCTACAAGGCTTTCGGGGTCTACTAGGAGTTCATGTTCGAGAGCAACCGATATGAAGTGTAGATGTATCCAGGGCTACTATTCTTACTGCGATTAAATGCAAAGTGTCAAACTTTGCCAGGAATCCCGGGAATAGCTTTTCAAGGCGTGATCAGGAGACGGTACTTGCTGCATCCGAGGATGGCTGAAGTCTGGGAAGGAATGGATTTGCCCATCAGGCCGATGGATTGGGCGTTGGGCAAATTATCACGAGCTAAACAAAGGTGGGGGTCCTTTACTTGGTGGTTCATCGTTTCCAGTTTTTGAATTAAGCTGATTCGCAATTCAAGTGGTCACAAGGCCATCGGCTTGTGACCCATGATTGCTCGTGAGAAAGGTTTCTTCCGGGGTACCCTCATTTCAGGTTGGTCAAGTATATTAAGTTATCACAGTTCACCCAACACGACCATTGAATTGTGTGCATTCAATCCTTTGTCCACTTTCCACATGTCTTTGGAAGGCTCACTTTGAACAACCCAAGTTTCGTAGGGTGCACAGGTGGTTCAATTCCTTCAAAGGAAGCCATTTGAGGACCATTCGTTTGTTTTCATAAATTGGAGCCCCTTTTTTAGTTGCCGTTGCAGTGTCAAGGATGAGCCAAAGGAATTTCCATTTGCAAGGCCCATTTTTCCGGAAACACACGTTTCCCATGATTTGCTTGTATCGAATGACACATTTCCCTTTTGCGGATGCCCTGTGCGTTTCCTTTGCCCGCAACTGCCATCACCACCGTTGCATATGGGCCGCCTATAGTCCTTGTGAAGTCAACAATGCATAGAGTATGCATAGGTACGGTTTTCCAACCAAAACCAAAACGTTCTGGATGCATGCCAACCTTTTCAGCTAGTGACACGGACGCCCCGCCCACGTGATGCTTTGCGCAGGCATTCGAGTTGTTCCGACACGTTAGAGCGTTGATGGCACCGTTATCTCTACGGGGCGACTACACAACTAACCCAACCGCATGTTGCCAACTACCTGCGCCCCTGTTTTAAGCTAGACATTTGGAGGGTTGAACCCTTCGGCTACTCGCGTGCAAAGGGCCCTTGACTCGAAGCCTTGGCTTTTGGGCCCCTGGATGCAACGAAATGCAGAGAACAGGTGGCTGGCCTGAGAAGAAGCTCACTTTCCGAGTTTCTGGACACACTTTTTTCTCATACCTTTGGGAATTAAGAAAAACGCCTTGGACCTGTTTGACCGACCCAGTAAGAAAAGTCCAAAAGTGACAGGAACACCTTTGTCCACTTTGACTGCCCGGAGAAGCTGGCACTGTTCGATCGCCTTGCTGGGCGGAGCTTCTTGGCCCATTCTTGGCCGCGGTCCAGACGCGGAACCCACGTAAAAGGGACCCCTACCATCTCTGCCAGCAACATTGGTGTTTCTCCGAATTGTCCCTGAAAAGAGTCGGTTTCTTGGTGCCCCCTTAACTACGAAAAAGGGGCCAAAGGGGGTCCGCAGTACGTATTGGTATTGGGGGTGGCTGGGTGGAGAAGCTTTTGTGCAGCGCCATTTGTCATTGGTGAGTCTATATCCAATGTGGGTGTTTGCAGGGACAGCTCAAGTCATAGGGGGCACTTGGCACTCCGACCAGCCAGAACCCTATTTTGCCATTGTGTGGAGCCAGCTGTTTCATTGCTGGCCCTTGTCCAGATGTATCGACACTGGCGGGTGTTGACAGTTCTTCCAGGCCCTCCGGAGTAGAACTTCGAACCAACGGCACGTTGATTGGGCCTGCTTGTTGCATGAGTTTCCCCAAACATTTTCCAAGCAGTTCTTCGGTTTTTGTCGGGTTCAGCGAAACACGGAAACCCCAAAATCAAATGGTTCCAATTTGTTGTTTTACTTTTTTCTCCCTACGGTTCTCGTTGCTTTCCTGGGAACCCCCGCTGAGCTCAAGACACGATCGAAGCTGAGGCCCGGTCACCTCCGATGGGGGCAGGTTGACGCCCAGCTCGAAAATAGGGGGGGGTTCGCGTGTGGGGTGTTGGGGGAGGGTGTTGGGTGCCAAAGCCTGTTCCACCAGTTGTTAAGCACTCATTTTGTGGTTTGGCTGGTTAAACCACCCAGTTTGGGGTTTCATGTTGCGTTTGGAAACAAGCCTTTATGGTTTGGGTTAAAGGGTGATCCGAATCACCGGGCTAGTCTTGACCTATGCCGACCTAAATTTGACAGGGTCAGCCTTAAAGCATACATTTGGGCCGACAACAATACTTGTAAAGCAGGTGGTTTTTGGATTACTCCGGAACCCTGTTTCAGGAACAGCAAGTTCGTCACCTTCAAACCTGGCTAGCAAACAGGTTCCAGATTGCACCAAAATACAATCATAGGGCTACGGTCACCTAATTGGGGTCCGTGAGACCCTGTTCTGCAGGATGCGCAGTGCCTCCTCCCCGATGCTCAGCAGCCGCAGCACGCCTACAAACGAGCGCGCGCCAGAGGACCAGCGCCTCGACAATTGAAAGGTTTTGTACTGGGCTGAGAGTGGACTGTCGATTTTGGGATGGACATGGGCTGAAAGTGGACTGTTGATTTGGACAGTCTTCAAACTGCCTTGGGAAGCATGGTTTGCCACAAGACTCCTTGAAGCGGACTTTTGTTTTGTGTTGGACATGGGAAATCGTTGGCTGGAAAGTGGGGAGTCTCAAATTGCCCGGAAGGGCGGAGGTCCTTTTTCACCAGGAAGACTTGCATAATTGTTGTTTATTGCTGGGAACCCTGCAAGGTTCCCCAGTAGTGCCCTTTTACCCTTTTTTGGGGGAGGGTTCCCTTACTAAAATGGACTACAGAAAAAAGGTTACCCTTATTCTAACCTCTCTACTGGAGGACCTAGCTTGTTGAAGTGGCCATTTGGTTGTTTTGCAGACAGGGGGCACAACATAATCCAATTGGGGTGAAGGGATCCGTTTTTCAGCACCACTTGAAGGTTTATTCCGGGAGTCTCACCTACCTAAGAGGACCCAGTAGAGATATAGACAGAGAGAGAAACTGTGAAAGACATCGCGCGGCAAGATTGCAGTTTCCGCCTGTGGATATTCAATGTTGCAGATGTTCCCATATCTTTCACAGGACAAGCTCCAGACGAGATGGTGCCCGGTTTCCATAATTAAACCCCCGCCAGACTCTCAAGGGACCTTCGTGTGGACTAGTCAGTGAGGGAGGGAGGGAGGGAGGGAGGGAGGGAGGGAGGGAGTGAGAGGAAGTGAGGTAGAGTGTGGTAAGCTGTGCTATGTAGCGTGCGCTTAGGCCCAACTTGGACAGGCTCAAACCTGCTGCTTCCTTACAACACTTCTCTAGGCATCTGTTCCAAAGGCCGGCATCATTCAAGGGGACCAGCATGCATTGCAGCAGATGTGCCAGGTTCGCTGTTTGAGTTCTAGGAAAAGCCTTTAAGAAGTCCAAACATCCTGCAGAATCAGGCAATCCTTATTTCATGGTTTGGACGGGTGGTTTGTGGGCTTGAACTCCGGATCGAATCTAGATCGAAAACGATCTCTGCACCCCCCGAACCGGATCACATTTGGATTGAACATTTGTGTTCCATGCAGTTCCCCAAATGAAAAAGATCCCTCCAACATGGCATCACTGTATTTACCTACCAGGGACTCGTTGCTTACTGGATTCCCGCTACACTCTTTTCAAAAAGAGCTGACAGAGTGTCTTGAAGGCACTCGTCCACTGCGCACGGGATTTAGAGGGTGCCCCTGAACAACCGGATGTCTCCCTCGCGGCGAGACGCACAAGCCAAGGGAGTCCACAACATCCGCGCCCAGCGGCAACAGCGCCAGAGATCCGGAAGCGAGCGGCAACAGCACCAGGGATCCGGAAGCGAGCGGCAACAGTGGCAGGGATATGGAAGCCAGGCACATGCGCCTTGGCTCAGAAGCGCATCCAGCTGGAAGTTTCGGGCATGGGTTGTGGGTGGCATTTCTGATTTGCATTCAGACATTATATACAATATAATACATATGCACATGTATCTATGGATGGACAAGTTGCATTCGTGTGTTTGTTCATCTAAGGGCTGTCGCCCTGTGAAAAGCCACAACATCCACGCCCACTGTTCCTGCTTGATCATGGCATTCCGGGAAAAACCAAAAGAAAACCAAAAGGGCAGCCAATCGGAAATCAAAAGCAAACCAAAGACAAGGCCAAAAAGAAAGCAAAAGGCAATGAAAGGCAAGCAAAGGGGACTAAAACGAAACACAAGGGGAAACCAAATGGAAACAAAAGGGAAGCCAAAGAGAAGCAAAAACACAACCAAGGATGCAGATTCTCACGAGCTGGGAATCCCATGACGAGGCGGTTGATTTGCCCCAAATCGAACCTTGGCCCCGCCTGCTAAAATGGCCCATCGCTTCAATTTAAGCAAGAAACACAATGAACTGGGCAAATGATCTACGATACATGTAGATATATATATATATATATATGTTCAGATCAGTCTTTAAGCAAAACATCAACACACTACAGGGCCATGTGCGCTGGTAGACAATCGTTCTGACTCACGAGCAACGCATCGCGAGGGGTGTCCCGAAAAGAGATGTGCCACTAACAGGCTAACTTGCGGGCACTGTTTAGAGAGCCTCGCCATTTGAGGCACCCTTGTGAAAAGCTGCCAAACACGTGGAAGGCCCACACCATTAATACCATCAGTAGCATCAGTAGCATCAGTATCTGGGACGAAGCGTGCAACAAGTGTCGTTCTTTCGCATCCCTAGCAGCACCTAACAACAAATGCCGCATACATATTTCCTTTACCAAACTGAGGCGATGCTGGGGATGCTGGGGATGTCAGGCGCTGGTCCCTGTACTGCATATAGCAGGAGTATTGATGATGATGACGATGATGATCGTGATGGTGATGGTGATGATGATGGTGATGATGATGGTGATGGTGATGATGATGGTGATGCTAGTGCCTTTCGCATTCCCAGCATCACCAGCGAGGCTAGGCAAGAAAATGATGACGACTGTGAGAAGAAGATGACGATGACGATGATGCTCATAGTGATGGTGAGCCACCCTTCCCGCGTGCCTCCCTTCTTGCAGGGGTCGGCGGATTTCTTGATGTTATACCCCCATGGAATCCAATGGTATGTACGTGCTAGAATCTGATATGGAAAGGCTCGTTGTTTGCAACTGGGATTTCGGCCTTCAGAAAGTGCAGAGAGGACGATTCGTGTGCCGGGAGCTCTGAATTTGCGTTGATCCGCAATCATTCGATTCGCTCTTGCTGGGAGGTCTTTTCATTTCACACAGAACATTATGGAACCAAAAGGGCCATAGAATGACCTCTTGTTCGGGTACCTCCTTTCCTGGTCAAGTTGCAGGTGGGAAGTCGGGATCGGATCCCAGCTGACTGTGACTCAGGAACGGGGATTGTCGTGGCGGGCTTAGCGGCTGAGTAGCGGAGGGTCTTGGTACGTCTTGGTGCAGTCGACATCTAAATCTGCGCCCTTTCGCCTGGAATATATCAGGAGACATGCCAGAGCATTGTTCCTGCTTTGACTTCAGCTTCTGGGGCCGGGTCACGGGGTGCCCCTTGCACTAGGCGCAGGTCGGCCATCGCATGGAGCATCTACTGGGAATTCATCCTTGAAAGGCTGGTTTCTTGGCTGCCGCTGTTTTTGCTGACTTTGTTGGATGCCCTTCTGACTCCTTGTGCAAGTCCACGCTTCGAATAAGATGAAACTTGTCGCTGTTGCAACAATTATTCGTGTCTATCTCATTCATGTCGAAACATTCACCAGCGACGAGCTAACGGGACGTTTCTTTGTTGTTCAGTGGATCTCTTTATTTTTTTTGCTTAGTGGCTTCCCCACCATCCCGAAAAGGGCTCAGATTCTGGAACGGTTGCTTCAAACAGTTGCTTGCAGCACCCCAACAACGGCCCCATCGCCTCAAGCCAGGCTCTCCATCAGAGGTGGACCCCTGAATATGTCTGGTTCCCGTTTGGTTTCTGCATTTCTCTTTGACAACCCCCCGGACCACGTCACCCCCCAAAAAAAAGCAACACGGCAGGGCACAAAACAAACACGCCACAGGTCATCCAGTCTGGTCACATGTCCAGTTTTGGGCAATGGCTTGCCGATGGCCCAGGCCCGTGCGCGTATTTTAACTACAAGCCCCTTGGATTGTGGGGAAGATGTTTGGACCCTGGCTTCACAACAACGCAGGGCTTTTCCTTGGGACAAGTCCAGAGACGTTTCCAACAACGCAGGGTTTTTTCCCGGGGATAAGTCTAGAAAATTATGGCTCCACCAGGCTGAGACAGACCTGACACCTCTGTCGCATTCCTTCCAAGCCAAAAGGAGGTTTGAAACAAGCTCAAGCAAGGGGCTGGCCCCACCCTGCCCTGCTGGAAGAATGGCTTTTCCAAAACGGGTGGTTCGTTGGCACTTTGGACATGCCCCAACCAAGAGTTCCAAAGATGGAGAAAAGGCAGCCCGGCCCGCGGAGATGCTTGAAGCTGGTGTCAGCAACCATGAGCACCCACCCTCATGTTCCCCAGGACATCCCTCCGAACTCTCAATCTTGTAATGCTGAGAATATGTATAAATGTATATATGCTTGAAACCTTTTTGTTGACCCATGAATTTATTTTGGAATAACCTCTGATGCGTGTGTGTGTGTGTGTTTCAATCGAAAGCCGATGTTTGACGCACATCCTTCACTTTACGCAGAACCCTCCCTGATTAAGTCTGTAAACGTTTGTTGATCTGGGTCAGCGCTGGCCGCGGCAAAAGCTTTCATCAGCTTCGCGTTCCTCAGACTTGTTGTGATGTTTGTCGTCTTGGGTTTCTTGGGTTTTGGGATGTTGGGCATGCTGGGCCGTTCTTCTGACAATAATTAGGGGGGACCGAACCCCTTGATGCAGGTTTTGTTGCGCTTTCCCCGCAGGGCCCTTAATGTTTACTGAGAGGAGGCCAATACTGTAGGTTGTGTGAACGAAGGCTGAATTAACATGCCAAACCAAAGTGGTCATCCCCGAAGTGAGTTGTGCACTTGCAGGGCCAGCTTGCCTCCGAGGAAAGATGGATGTCGCCTAGCTGAAGAGTGTAGCTTGGCTGACCATAATGTGGGTTTGTCTCCAATCCAGGGCACCAACAAGTGTGATCTCCATTCTATTTCACTGTGGCGCACCACTGGACCAAGGCTACCACAAACAACCAACACCACCGCCACCACCACCAACAACAACAGCAGCAGCAGCAGCAACCAACAACCAACAACCAACAACCAACAACCAACAACCAACAACCAACAACCAACAACCAACAACCACAACAGCAACAGCAGCAGCAGCAACAACAACAACAACAACCACAACTACAACCACAACCACAACCACAACCAGCAACCAGCAACCACAACCAGCAACATGTTCAATAACAATGTCAACAACATCTTCAATAATAATTCAACAACAGCAGCGGCAACAACAACAAGAACAAAAACAAGAACAATAACCATAACGAGAACGAGAACGAGGACAACAAAAACAACAGCGACAACAACGACAACAACAGCAACAACCACGACGACAACAACAGCAGCAGCAACAACAGCAACAGCAAGACCAGCACCAACAGCAAGACCAGCACCAACAGCAAGACCAGCACCAACACCAGCACCAACACAATCACCAACAACAACAACAACAACAACAACAACAACAACAACAACAACAACAACAACAACAACAACAACAACAACAACAACAACAACAACAACAACAACAACAACAACAACAACAACAACAACAACAACAACAACAACAACACAACAAACAACACAACAACAACAACAACAACAACAACATCTACAACTACAAC